AGTGTGAACATGCACCCGGACTGCACACAGGAAAGCCCCGAGTGTGAACATGCACCCGGACTACACACAGGAAAGCCCCGAGTGTGAACACGCACCCCGACTGCACACAGGACAGCCCTGAGTTTGAACAGAAACCCCAACTGCACACGAGACAGGGAAAATGTCTGATTGGACAAAGCAGGTGCAGAGCAATGATGTGTGCATGGCCACCAATCATCAGCGAGCTTAAGGAAGCCGCACTGTGTACGCTGGGAAGGAGCCCAAGCACCCTCTGTTTGCCTGCTCCATTTACATAGCTTATGTCATCCCACTGCCCTCCCCACTGTGCATGCGGTAAGTCAGTTACCATGGAAAGGTGTGCTGGGGGTGGATATTAAAAGATGTTGGCTTGCAAGCAAGTAAGAGGAACATGTACTTACAAAAAATGATGTTCCTCATCTAACAGCAGGAAAACAAAAAGTGTGACCAAACAGCCCCCCCCCCCCCACCCACATTACGTTGAAGGGAGCCTGGAACTGGGAAGAAAACAGGGACCCGCAGATCTAAGTGCATGAACAGGTCCATCAGGCGCTCAAGAAACAAGATGAGGGGGAGGAGAAAAAATGGAAGCCAACAGCTTGCGGAGGGCAACTAAGTCAGCCGATTACCCTCCTTTCATGCTCTGCCCCCCCGCCCTCCTGCCCTCCCTGCCCCCCAGACACAACCTCCGTCTGTCCGATGCTGTTTTAGATCACCCAGAACACACCCAGCAGCGCTAATCGGTATTCTGAAAAATGAACACAGACTTCTTCTTATCCTCAGCTGTTCCTTTAAACTGCCACCCTTAACAAAAATACAGAAATAACAAACGTATTAAGAACTCTTTCCATTCATTGTTACATCATTGCAAAAACCCCTCAAATTACTAAAATACAGAGTTGATTTTAAAAACCCCCCTTTCGTGCAGATACCTCTTCAGCTTTTGATTACCATCTTGGCCTGCTATGCTGCTGCTGCATTATGCTCAGAAATGCAGCCTATCGCCCATCTGCTGTGTATTAGCAACTTTTTCTCAGTGCTGTTTACCAGACTGAGTTTCTGTGGACTTGCTTTGATGTGTTCTGACCTAAGGGGGCCATGGCATGTTGCCCCCCCCACAGTACATGCTGTCCTCTCTGTGGGTGATACACATACTCTCTCTATAAATTCCAGTCTGGGACAGTTGGACCAGTATGTTGATTACAGGTATAAACAGACTGCTTGGTGTAAGTCCGGGGACGCGAGATCACATCCGAAGGCGTCTTCCCCTTCACCCATTTCCATGGCCTCTCTAGCAAGAACTCACCTTGGCCTTCTCGAAGTCCAGGTCCTTGCCGATGGTGGTGAGCAGTCGGCAGAGACACTCCAGCGACTCCTCGTCGTGGTTCTTCAGCAGCTTGACCACGCAGTCGTGCATGATGGCCTCCGTCAGCATCTTCAGCTTGAAGAGCTCCCCGATGAACTTGATGTTCCCTATGGAACGTCGCCGTGCCTTGTCCTTGGCCTCCTCCAGCTCCTCCTGGAGCCGTTCCCGCTCACTGGCCTGTGAGGTGGGGGGGGGGGCATAAGAGTTTGTTTGTTTGCAACAACTGCTGGGGCCAATGCAGGTACTGTCCCGGAAAGTAGGTTTACATCACCTATGGGTACTTGTTAGTAAGTTTGGACCAGCAGAAAAAGATGCTTGTGGGAGTTTTACTTACACAAAAATGTTCTGAGGGCAGAAGGAAAAATGACTGGTTCAGAGAGTGAACCAATCAGACTATAGAGGAGTTGAGTCAAAGCAACTAGAGGAGACGGGACCAAGGCATCCGATTGGTTGGTCCTACCTCCTCTAGTTGCTGGGACCCACCTCCTCTACAATCTGATCCAGTTCTCCCTGTGAACCAATCATGTTTCCTTCTGCCCTCAGAACATTGTTGTGTAAGTCTGTGCTCCCTGACATCTGTGCTCCCTGACATCACATCATAAATATGGGACAGCCCCAGTTACCGAGGTGGCTGAGTCCAGTTCCTTCTGCTTCCTCTCGAACACAACGTCGTCCACCTTGTCTCTCTCGAACTCTTTCTGGCACCGGTTCAGCAGAAGTTTGCGGAAGTTCACCGTGGCGCTGGGCTTGTCTGCCATCGGCACCTTCAGCTGTCCGTCGGAAATGGGGGATGGGAGGTGTTAGCAGAGATAGGAGATCAAAGAGTGAGGCAGGCAGTTGAAGAACTGCCCCACCCCCCCACAAGATACGCATGACATACGTGTCAAATGAAACGTTTACATTACATATGTAGATAGCTGGAGTGTTTAGCTGGGATTATTGTACGCTGTCAATCATTGCCTGAGAACCTAAAACCAGTGGAAAGTGGTTTGATTGACAGCCAGAAGGAAATGCCAACTAAGGCTCTCATCACTAGTAAATAATTGTAGAGCAATCCAGACAAAACCCTGGGTGCAAATTATGTTTCTGTTCACCTGTAGTTGATCAAATCTCAAGCCCACTTAGTCACGGTCAATCCTCACAAGCGATGGCACCCAATTATCAAGGTCCGAGGGGCAAATTAATTGCAGTTTCTCGCGAAACTCTACCCATACCGTGGCAAGGCAGCGACACATGTTGCTGTAGGCCACGGAGAAGCTGGGTTCATCGATGGCCTTCTCGAAGACCAGGTCGATGACGCCCTTGAGCCGCTCCTCCGTGTCGATGGTGAGGTCCGTCACCTGCTTCATCAGCTGGTTGAACATCTGGGGCGTCAGCTTGTTCAGGATGCTGCGCACCTTGCGGAAGAGCTCCTGCGGAAAGGGGAGATGGCGGCGGCGCCACCACCGACACGGCCCCGGGTTCAAAAACCGTGTCCCAGAACCAACTGGCGGGGCTTTGCAACAAACAGAAAAGGCGCGGGTCAAGTCGGGCCCATTTCCAATCAAAGCAACTGCAGAAAGTGGCAGGAGTGAGGAATACACAGAAATGACATTGGCCTTGCCTCTGTCAGAGGAACATCTTGCCAACTGGAGGCATATGGATAAAAATGAGGAAACAGAATATGAAAGCCAGCTTTAAACCAAAGGACAAAAGCCTCTCCCTAGGTTAGGATGGGGTTACGTTCCGATAAACCTATCGTAAGGTGAAAATATCGTAAGGCGAAAATGCACTTTAATACAGTACACCTAACCTAACAAGCATCATAGCCTAGCCTAGACTGCCTTAAATATGCTTCAAACTCTCACATTACCCTACAGCTGGGCAAAATCATTAACACAAAGCCTATTTTATAATAATGTGTTGAATATCTCATATAATTTACTGAGTAATGCGCTAAAAGTGAAAAAATGTTTACCTGTAGTACAGTCGAAAAATCATAAAATGGACCATTGTAACCTGGGGAGTGTCTGTATTTATAACAAGCAAAGGTAGGCATGAGGGCAAAACCAAAGGGGTCAAAGTTCACCTGTGTGTGCTGGGCATCTGGGTCATCGGCCAGCCCCTCCTGCTTAATGCCAGGCTTCCAGGCATTCTCCGCCTTCCTCAGCTGCACGTCGTCGTTCACCGACACGTTCATGATGATCTTGCGTGGCTGGGGTCTCCTGGTGCCCACATTTAGCAGCTGGTGGGTGGGGGGGGGGGAAAGCAGTCATAAAGCCCAGTGGCCCCGTGAGCTCTGCTCGCCGTACCGCCTGCACGTGTGGAGACTCACCGGAGATCCGCGGCCACCTGATGCTGGACGCCCGAAGTCGGCAAAGGCGGGCGTGAAGTCAGGGCCCCAGGAGATCGTGCGAGGGTCGACGGTGCGAGCCAGCTGCTTATTTTGGTTAATCTTCCGGGGGGTGAGAGAAATTGAGGGAGAAAAGGAGACACACACAACAGTCAGCATACAGACAGATTTCTGACAGTAAAAGCCTGATGTTGGACTTCCATCCATTTTCAAATTGTTTACTAAAGGGTCACATTTACCCAGGGGCTGATCGGGGGAAACAGAGCTCAGGAGAGAGGGCACACCCTGGATGGGATGCCAGTGCACTCAATCACACACTATTACCATTGACCGATTCACCTAAACCGTGTGTTTTTGGGCTTCAGAAAGATACCAGAGCACTTGGAGGAGACTCACAGAAACAATAAGTGCCAAAACCAACACGCCTTATGCAACCGGACTCCCCAGCAGGAGACCCAGGCAGAATCCAACCGCCTGCTACACTCTTGTTTATGAAATCGCCAAGGGGAAAGGTCCAAACCCCAGACCAGAACCACATGGACCCGTACGTTTCTGTACGGACGTCTCTGCTGTGTGATCTTACAGCTGAGAACTGGGTTGGATTTGGATTTGGATCTGTAACCCCGTCCCAGGGTTACAGATTTCCCTGGTTGCTCGATGCAGCGAATGGGAGTTTCCCAGAAACAGATTAGCAGCTATTAGGACGACAGGCCCAGGCCGGCCCACATATGAGGACGAGGACCAGGGGAATCCATAATCAGGAGCCTCGGGGCCAATACACAAGCGCTCTTGCAGAGTGTAATGCTGAATTACTGTGAAGACACATCCCAGGTAGCTCACTCCCACCGCCACGCTTCATTTAATGACCAGGCCTCATTTACTCTCCCAGCCAGCCCCGATCAGCCGCTCAGCAGCACCATTCAACCACAGAGCTCCAAAAGTAACCTGAACAGACAGAGTCTGACAGCAGCCACCCCCGGGGAAGGGGGGGTGGGGGCCTACCTTATCTAGCACCACGTCGCTGATCGGGGGAAGACCGTCGGGCTTCTGTATGCAGGCTGGGGTGAACTGGAAACCGAGCAGGAAGTCGCGGTCGTACTGCCTCTTCCCACCCGGTTCCACTGGCTCTGTGGGGTGTGGGGTCACAGTCAGGTTTGGGTCTAACTTATGGCTTTCAGTCAGATATAACGAGCAGGGAATTAAGTGACAGAATCTGCCTCTGAGTGTCTCTGATATCTGCTCATCAGCTAACAAATGTATCCTAAACCACGAGTTACAAATTTGTTTGGCGAATGGTCAGGTGTAAACTGCCTGGCCGAGGTGATTCTATACTCACTGGATAGTATACTACATTCAACTGTTTAGTATTGGCAAATCAGGTGGCTGCAGCTGAAGACGCAGCATGCAGACAAGGTCAAGAGGTCCAGTTACTGTTTGGCTGAGCATTAGGACAGCTAAGATGCGTCATCTAAGTGATGTTAAATATGACGTGAATGTTAGAATGTGGGCACGGTGGTTCCCGCATCTCAGAAAGTCACCTTCCTGGGATTTTCTCACACTACAGACTTCAGAGCTCACAGTCAATGGTGTGAACAAAAAAAAAACATCCATTCAGTGGCATTTCTGTGGCTGAAAACACCTTGTAAATGAGAGAGGTGACAGGGTAATGACGAAACTGGTCAAAGCTAACAGGAAGGCAAAACACGCAATACAACACCTCAGTACAACGGTATCCAGACAGGCACAATTTCTCAACACTTAAAATGGCTCCGGAATCAAAAGTGAGCTGGTGGGAGTTTTACATGCAGAGATATGTTCTGAGGGCAGAACGAAAAAAGCAACTAGAGGAGGCGAGACCAAGACATCTGATTGGCCTCCTCTATTTGCTTGGACACACCTTCTCTACAATCTGAATGGTTCTCTCTCTGGACCAATCATATTTCATTCTACCCTTAGAACATTTTTGTGTAAGTAAAACTCCCAAGAGCCAAAAGCAGGTCCTTCCAGGTAGTATGTAGGGCTACGCAATTGCATTTGGCTGAACCGTATTATATATAAATGAGCAGCTCTGCCTATCACGTTGGTCTGAACGTGGCTTCTGCAAGTGAAGGAAAAGACCCCCACCTCCCTGGAAGATGTAAGGTGGTGGGGGGGCTCTGCATCGTCCCTCCCCTGGCTCGGCCCCTCCATCGCTGACGTCCATCTCAGGGCTAGGGGCTGCCCCGTTCCCTACGGGATCTGCCTCGCCATTCTCCTCCGGAGTGGGAAGCGGCTCTGTGGCGTCTGCTGGCGAGTGGCCCCGGGGCTCCAGGCCCTGGGACTCCAGGCCCTGGGGCGAGGCCTCGTCCAGGCCAGACCAGTCCGTGGAATCTTCCTGGAAAGGATGGCGTTAAACCAGAGGCTAAACGACAACAACGGATTACAGTAACCCCCACGTGCCCTTCTCCCTCGGCCCTACCTCCCTCCCCAGGCTCTCTGGGGACTCTTCATCTTTTGGTTTCTTCCAGGTCTTTGGTGCAGCTGAAGCAGTTTGAGCTGCCAAAGAAAACAAACCACCAGTGAACTGCAGCGAAGCCACATTAACCCTCTGGGGTCGACGGCATCGCCGGTGATGCCGCATATCTTTCTCGTGTATTTCAGTTCATAACTCGCTGAAATCTTATTATAGAAACATGAAAAAAACACTGACTAAATCCGTAATCTGTCTTCTTTTCAAAACGTCCATTATAGGAAGTATTAAAGTTTTTAAAATGAGGTTAAATCGGCAAAAAATTAAACCATGTCACCTTTCTTTGTTTTACCTGCATCAGGGGCG